TGGTGTGGGCAGGTGCACTCATAAATCACCCATCATGAAATGTGAATCTTGAAAGAATCTCCAAAAAAATTCACTGAAGCCAAATGTAGTCTCTCATAACAATACTAGCAGGTACACTGATGTCGATGGATTCCTAAAACACTTGCCTAGTGGGGGAAGCCTGTACTATATGGGGCGCACCCTCCAGAAGATAATTCCGGTTTGTTTGTTTTTGAGGGGGTCTCCCTCATATATGCAGTGAAATACTATCCAGTCTTAAAAAATAAGGAAATCCTGTTATTTGTGAAAACATAGATGAAACTGGAGGACATGAAATTAAGGGGAATAAGCCAGGTGCAGAAAGACAAACACTGCATTATCTCACTTACATGTGAAATCTAAAAAACTCAAACTCATAGAAACAGAAAGTAAAAGATGGTTATCAGAGGTGGGCATGGGAGAGGAGTAGGGAAAGAAGAAATATGGGTCAAGGGGTACAATATTGTAGTCTGAATAAGTTTTTACTGATGTTTTTGCACAGTATGACAACCATAGTTAGTAACAATGGATTGCATATTTTGAAATTGCTAAAAGAGTCGATTTTAATATTCTCACCACAAGTGCTTAAGACAGTGCCTGATACATAGTAAAGTACTTGGTAAGTGTGAAAAGATTAAATAAATAAATAATAAAGACAGTTAAGTAAGCCCTTAATTAACTTCTGGGGGTTAGGGTCAAGAAAGTAGGTATGTGAACTCATTCTACTGATAAAATGGATTAGAGTATAATCCAGCTGTCCAGCCTCTTAATGGTCCAAGTGTCTAAAGTAAGAGTCAAATGGGGTTGGGATAAAGTGTAAGATGGGGAAAGAGTTATCTGTTCCCTTGTCTATTCCCTTATTCTACAAGTATTTATTGAACTCCTACCTTATGCTCCACAGCAGTTCTAGATCATATATTCTTATATCTAAGTAGCTGCTCATAGCAAAAAGCATAATCAAATAAATGAACTATTTTACAAAAAATTCCAATGAATCAGATATTGCTCTAAAGTATCTCTGTAACATCATCTCCAAGTGTACTGTATTCCCTGTAGAAGAAAAGAATATCTGAGCTGCTCTCTTTGTTTCCCAAGACAGATTTTTTGAAAACCCTGTCCCTCACCTCAAACATTCATCTAGTTTGGGAACAAAAGAAAGCATATAATAATCCTCCAAAATAAAACAACAGGTCAATAGACCTGCAAACAAAAAATAAATAAATAAAATGGAAACAGAGGCATCATCTAAACATGTCTTTTCATGTTGTTTTATCTACCAAGTTAAATCAGCCCTTGGCCTGGCTGTTGCCGTACCTAACAACTCTTTGCTGCGCTTAGTATAGTGAATGTATGAACTTCCTACTTATGCAGTTGCTTCTCCACCTAGACCACAGGCTGCTACCAGGTCTTGCTACCAAAGCAACAAACAGGCCTTAATCATTGCCATATCCCATGTGGTAGCATAAAATCTGGCCCACAGGAGGCACACAGTGGTTATCCAAAGAATAAGCTAGAGAGTGCATCCAAAGGGTTATCAAAAAGGAGAGCCTAAAGTACATACTAGGAGCTAGAACCCAAAGCTAGAAAGCTCAAGAGGTGGGAAGGGAAGAACCAATAGCAAGGGAAGACAAGCAAGAAAGAGGGTAGGTTTGGGTAAATCCCCAAAACAAGGACTACGCTCTGACCAGACTGTGTGAAGGGGAAAAGTAAGGAACATTGGGGTGCTAGCAAAGAACCTGAGAAAATGAGATATTTAGGTTTGCAATTTGTTATGTACTGGACTATACTTTCACACTTATCTTTGTAAATGGATTCTCCAGTGTCTGAAACTGAGAACTTCTGAATGATCCTCAGCAATCCTTCTTCATCACCACCCATGTCCAAGTCTCAATTCCTCACTGGCATCTCTTTCCCAGTGTTTTATTCTCACGTCTATCATCCTTGTCCAGGTCTCCATTACTTTTCACTTTAGCTGTTTTCTTATCCCAATTCAATTGTTTCCAGCCTCTGTCCCCCAAAAAGTCTTCTCTGATCTTCCTAAATTTGGGCTCTGATTATATAATTTTCTGGTTCATCATCTTCAGAGACTCCCTATTTGCAAAGGTCTCCAGGATAAAATTATCTTTATTGTCATTGTATAAATAACATGGCAGAGTGCACTGTGCTTGGACAATGGAGTCGAATACAACTCAGTTTTAAAATCGACATCCTCCACCACTAACTAGCAATGTGACTTGAGAATCACTTTTAACTCTCCAAGCCTCAGGTTTCCAATGAGAGAGAGAGGGGTGGTGGGGGATGGAGAAAGAGAGAAATCTAAGAATATCTAAAGAGAATGTGTCTGGGCCAGTGTTGGGTACATCGTTCAGGCTCAGTATTTTTCCTCACATTTTTCCACCCAAACCAGCATTCAGCCTTGATGGTGCCCTTGCTCAGTCCTTGACACTGGGTTCCATCCTGTGCTCCCACAGATCTGTAATCATAGTTCATATATCATTTATTCTATTCTGTATTTTATTTATTATAAGCATGTTTATATATGATTACTATACAGCTAAATAATTAGAGTAATTAGTCTTCTATGCTTCTAAATTTAAAATGTCTTGAGATAGAGGTTTGATCTTCATCTTTCTATCTTCCATATCATATTCTATCATGCACTGCACATAATAGAAACTCTATAAATGTCTACTAAATAGGAATGAATTTACAATTTTATGTGATTTATCCATGTTTTAAAATTTTTAAAAATTTCTTTGCTGTAAGAATTAAAAGAGTTAGAAAACAGAGGATTATTATACTGAAAATACGTGGGCCAAGCATGGTAGTTCACGCCTATAATCTCAGCACTTTGGGAGGCTGAGGTGAGAGGATTGCTGAGCCCAGGGGTTCGAGATCAGCCTGGGCAACTTGGCAAGACTTCATCTCTACAATAAATCAAAAAATTAGCCGGGCATGGTGGCATATGCCTGTAGTTCCAGCTACCTGGAAGGCTGAGATGAAAGGATCATCTGAGCCCAGCAGGGCAAGGCTGCAGTAGCCATGAGCATGCCACTGCACTCCAGTGTGGGCAACAGAGTGAGACTCCAACTCAAAAAAGAAGAAGAAAATATGTTATATTCCCCTACCACTTAATACAGGCCTTGAAATACAGTTGGTATTCCCTAAATTTTACTTTGTGTCAGATTAAACACCTACTATGAATTTTTTTAAAAGGTGCAGGGTTCTGATAGAATATTATGCAGCCATAAAGGACAAAATTATGATCTGCGCAGCAAATTGGATGAACTTAGAGTCTATAATACTGAGTGATCTATCACAAAACCAAAGAGCTGATTACCACATTTTCTCACTCATAAGCAGACCTTGAAAGATTATCATAATACTATAAGAAAGAGATTGGCAGTAGTGGGGAAAGTGCCAGAGGAGAGGGAGCACTCCTCATCAACAAAGGTACCTGCATAATATTTGTATACCTAACCCTGAATTGTACCCCACATCTTTAAAATAAAAAATTTTTTAATTAAAAAAAGAATGCAGAGTTCAAAAATAAGTAATTTTAAACAAAAAAAAGACTTTAGCAACACAGTAACATCTACCCAAATCCATCATTGTTACTGGAAAAAAAGCCCAAAGGAGATCAGTTCTAATGATATTGAACAGTAAAATTATTATGTTCTAGAATATGAGTTTGTATTCTCTGTATCCAGAGACTAAAACCTGAAAAAAGGAGATTAAATTGCATGCAGAAATATATAATGATTATTAGGATGCTATGACTAAGATAAACAAAAATTGTTTCTCATTTTATTCCTGGTAAATAATATGAAGAGCTAATCTTTGAACAGATTAACAATTTATATAGTCACTCTGCTTATTTTTAACCCTGTTTTTGAAAGTAAAATAACCTAAAATCAAGCTTTTACACTAGTATGTACAAAAATTATTACTGATGTAACTTTTAACACTTATTGCTGCTAATTCTTTAAAAATTTTTGGCAAAGTGGTTAAGGTCAAATACTGTGATTAGAAAGAACCAGGGTTAAATCTCCTATAGCTTTAGACTTTGACCAAATTACTTCTCTTCCAAACCTCAGTTTCATCACCTATACTATGAGGATGATATAATAGAAGCATCTATACGAAGGGTTGCTGTGAGGATGAAACGATTAGATGATTCCGATCGTAAATCTCTGTGCCTGAAAAAAAGTGGGTCCTTGACAAATGGTAGCTATAATAAGGATGAACATTACCACATACATTTGTCTCGTTGTAATGATTTTAACTCCCTTTTAAAAGTACCAATTCTTTACAAAGCGGTCTTCTTTCATTGTGGGAGGGTGGCGCACACCTGTAATCCAGCTACCCAGGAGCCAAGGCTAGCCTAAACAACTAAGCATTAAAATAAAATAAAATGAAAAAGCAGCCTTCTTTCGAAGGCGATCCCACAGCCACTAGAGGCCAGAGCCACTCCGCCAAGTGGCACGAACTTCGCCTAGGGCTTCCTCCCGGAACCCTCCCGGAGTGCGGGCCTGGGCCCAGCGGCAGGTCCCGACCCAGCCACGCCCGCTGCCCCTCCCGCCCGCGGGATAAGTGACGGCGACAACAGGTGTACAGCGGCGATCGCGGCTTCTCGGGAGTCCCCACATGTGGCGCGTCGGGCCCTGGGGTCAGAGTTTCACTCTGGAACCTTCTTCGCGGGACACCAGCCTTCGGACGTCTCAGGAAAGCCTTGAGGCCACCTCAACCTCGCGACCTTCTCAAAGCGGAGAAGAGGGAAAGGCGTGCTGTGCATGGAGCGTTGCGTTCGCGTCCGCTCTCCCCTCCCCGCCGTCCGAAAGCAGCGACGGCGGTCGCAGAACCGAGCCCTCGACTCGCACCCCAGGCCGAAACCCGCCCGCCCGCGCCGCTCTCCTGCTTGCGACGCCCGCCCGCAGCGCCGCCCGCCGCCGAGGCGACGCCGCCGGTCCCTCCCCGCCTCCCCGCCCCCCCCCGCCCGCGGGTGGCAAGTTCAGGCCCGGGGTCCGAGCCTGCGCCCCTGCAGCTGCCGCCGCCGCCGCCAGGGGGAGCGAGTCCCCGTCGGGAAACGTGGTGCTGCTTCCCCGGTGAGAAGGTGGTTTCACACTTTGGCTTTCTCTTCCTTTTCCCGCGTGTTTAAAGAGCGGAGAGAAAAATGGAAACCGAGGCCGGGGCGGTGAGTACGACGATCGGAGCCTCGGGACAGCCGGGAGACGGGGCGGCGTGGACCCTGTCCCCGAGGGCCGGGGCGGGCGGGGTGTAGAGCCCAACGCTCGCTAGGTAGTCGGGAAGAAACATGTCCGGGGACCCCGTTGGCTCTGCGAAGAACCGCCCACCGGCAGGCGGCCTGAATGTGTCGGGGGTGGGGGAGCTGCCGCCACCAGGCCTGGCCTGGATGTGGACGGGCGAGGGGGTCTCAGAGGCGGCCGAGAGGCTTTGGGGGCGACAGGTGGCCGGGCCTCTGCGCCCAACGGGGTGCGGCAGATAAACCGCTTTCCCGCCGAAACCGGCTCAGCCTTGTCTTCGACGCTCGCTGCTGTCGAGCTGGGCCCGGCCGCCCACGGCGACAAGGAGTCGCCGGGTCCGTCCGCTCCTCAACCAGTCAGTGGGGGCCAGAAGGTCGGAGAGACCTGGGGGCCCGCCTGTGGCCCACGTCGGGCCTGGACACTAGCACCGAGTGTGCGACTGAGCTGGTCGAGGCAGGGCTGGAGGGAAGTAGGGGGAGAGCGGTCTGGACTGACGGGCCGGAGCGGCAGCCGCAACGTGCCGCCACCCCGCTCTGCGCCCCGCCCCCTCCCGGCAGGCAGCCAATCAGCGCGCGCCACGCGAGGACCGAGGGCCCCGGATGCTCACGAGGCGTTCGGCGGGGTCCGTGTCGTTGAGAGTTCCCGCCACTGCTGCTGGCGGATCTGCGGGGCAAAATTTCTCGCTGGCTAGCCTTCTTTTCCCTCCCGCACTTTGGTGGGGAGGGGGTGGATCCTCATGTCGGTGCCCAAGTTCACGATGACCCGAGGGAACCCGAGGAAGCTGTCACCGCGCCCATTTCCCCTTGCGCCTCTGCTTGCTGGTCTCGGAGGGGAAGGAGCGCCGAGGCCGTGTCTGCGACGGTTAGCCCGCCCCCTTCTTCCTCTCGATTCGCGAAGTAGACGATAGGTGTTGCGGTTACTTCCCAAGGGCAGGAAAATTTTAATAAACGCTTTAGTGCTGGAAGTTTTACCCAAGCGGAGAGAACCCCTACTTCTAACCCAATGGCACCTCCTATCTAGACGCTTTCTAGCGGAATTTGAGACTTTGTTGTTTAACCCAGTGCGGCTCTAACCATCTGTAAGGAACTTGGATGCTGCCGCTACTTGAACCTTGTTATTGCTAACATTAAAGTATTTTCTAGGCTGTTTTTCGTACTGTATTTTTCAGCCCTCAGCCTGTTTGGCGTCTAGTAAGCAGGTCTCACCTAAAGAAATGAGTCATTCATTTATTTATTCATTCAACAGATATTCATTGAGCCTCTAGTGAATACTGTAGCTACTTCAGATGCTGCCGTGAGAAAAGACAAAACCCCTGCCCTCGTACATTATAGTAGAAGGAGATAGATAATAAACCTAATCGGTAAATTGTATAGCATGTTAGAAAATGATGAGTGGTAAGGAGAAAAATAAACTTGGAATCCACAAAAGAAAGAAACTTTAGAGATTGGAGAATGAAGTGGATTGAGTGTAAAAGGTTGATAATTTTCTTTTCTCAGTGAGTATCTTTTAGTTTCTAAGGATTGGAAATAATTAAATAATTAAAATAATCCTTCACTTCGTCCCTCTCTTAATGAAAATAATGGAGTTTATCTTTCACTTCAACAAAATTGAAAACAAATTAGTTGATCCATTGAAATCTTGTTTTGTTTTCAAGAGAATTTTGTGAAGACTGATTTTTTTTTTCTTAATTTAGCAAATAGGCAATTTTTACACTCTGTGAACAAATGGACGGAGACAAGGTTATATCTACTCAAGCTGTTATTATATTATCTCTAGCAATGCAAATCCACAGCTGAAAAATGCTAAGCATCCCAGAATTATCTGTTCTGAGCATTTTGTCTTGAGTAAAGTGATTGTAAAATAACATCCACCTGCTCAGAGAAGAAGCTCTTAAGGTTGGATTCCCAATTTCCTTAATTGGAAACTATACCATACTAATTATTATTATTGCTATTATTGTTTAGAGACAGGATCTCACTCTGTTGCCTAGGCTTGGAGTGCAGTGATGCAATCATAGCTCACTATAACCTTGAATTCCTGGGCTCAAGCAAACCCCCTGACTCTGCCACCCAAGTAGCTGGGACAACAGGCACTGGCTAATATTTTAGTTTTGTTTTCTTAGTGGCGACAAGGTTTCGCTCTGTTGCCCAGGCTGGTCTCAAACTCCTGACCTCAAGTGATCCTCCACCTCAGCCTCCCAAAGTGCTAGGATTACAAGTGTGAGCCACTGTACCCAGCCTATAGAGTAATTATTAAATATGATGACTTTTCTGTGGTTTAAAAGAAGTACTTAAGAACTATCTTCTTAGGGAGGATATGTTTTCTCTCCTTAAGATTGGATGGGAAAGAGAGCCCATAAGGTCCATCCTATAGTCCAGATGTCACCACTAGCCTAGTCATTTCTCTGTACTTCTTCCACAGATTACCTTAGGGATTATGGTTTTATTGGCCAGTGAAGTGAAAGAGCAGAACAAATGTGAAAAGAACAACTCTATTTACCTAAGATGGAAATTCATTTTCATGTGTTTGTCTCAGATAATTGGAGTTTTGAACTTTAAGCTTTTTATTTTATTCTTATTATTAATTTTTTTTAGAGACAGGGTCTTGCTCAGACTGGTCTCAAACTCTTGACCCCAAGTGATCCTCCCAGTGCACCCTCCCAAGTAGCTGGGATTATAGGCATGAGTGTATTTTGAAGTGCTCAATTAGTATGTTAGACTGTCTCAGAAGTCTGTTAGTGTTTCCAGAAGGAAAATAATTAGCAATTCTTGAATTGCTCATTCTTGAATCAGTTTCTGTTTAAAACTCTTTTCTCAAGTCTTTTTTTTTTTTCAGTTATACCTTAAGAGTCTATTAACTTGCCATTTTGTAAAGGCTTATACATTAATATATATTTATTAAAATTTAAAATGGGTCCTCTGACTTAGAGTTGTAAACATGTGGATATGAACTGAGCTCAGTTTTTTGGCATAAAAAATTACACCTTTGACTTATGAATATTTAAATTTTTTTTACAAAGTCAGTTCAGTCTTCAAATTGACAACTGCATTTAAAAATTGACTTTCAGTGGTGAACATGAATGCCAGGGTTTATTAACTTGTCAGTGCCCTTTAGCAAAGACCACCAGGAACACATGTCACTTAATAAAGTTGGGTCTTTTGACTTTTTGGAACAAGGAAGAACATACACTATGGGGCTTTTCAGTGAGAGGGTGTTAGAAAGAATTTATAGGATTTAGTCTTGCGTTAAGCAACTTTTAAACAGTTTAAGGAAGAAGGGCCAGGCATGGTGGTACATGCCTGTAATTTCAGTACTTTGGGAGGCTGAGGCAGGAGAATTGTTTGAGCCCAGGTGTTCGAGACTAGCCTGGGCAACATCATAAGACCTCATCTCTACAAAAAAATGAAAATAATAGCTAGGCATGGCAGCACACCCCTGAAGTCCCTGCTACTTGGGAAGCTGAGGCAGGAGGATCACTTAAGCTTGAGGCTGTGATGAGCTATGATGATGCCACTGTACTCTAGCCTGGGCAACAGAGTGAGACCTTGATTCAAAATATATATGAATATATATTTTATATGTATAAAATATATGATATACATGTATTATCAAGAACTTGGAGTAATTCTGTGATTGTATTAATTTTTATCTTAAGGCAAGAGAAATGGATTGAGGTTAACACTGAGTGACAAGGAGCAGACTCTCATATCAGCCAGGATAGAGATACGTTTGGTCATTCTTGTGATTTGGGCAATGTTTTTTTTGTTAGCATTCAGGCTTCACTATAGAGTGGTCTTGTTTTTGTCTTGCTCCATCACAGTCACGGAGTGACATTTTCTGTTGTTGGTGGTCTGTTAACAAAAGAACACCACAGTCTCCTGTAAGTACCAGGCCATCTAACAACACCAGGGTTGAGCTGGTTGTGCCAGGCCAGCTCCCACCAGTCCAGGGCTGCTTTTCTCCTTCTCAAACATCTTTATGACTTTAATATTTCTCCTTAATAATTAAATCATGTATTTAGTAATAACGAGTGTGTGTGTGTGTGTGTGTGTGTGTGTGTGTGTGTGTGTGTGTGTGTAATTTAAGATCTTCTCTATAGTGAATAGATTCTGTTTGCTGTTTTTGTTGTTGTTGTTGGCCAAAAAGCTATTAGCTCTTATTATAATCTGTATGATATTAGAATAAAACAAAGCCAAAAATACTACATTTTGCCTAAATCACTCATCTTTTTGAAAGATATGTTTTCAGCCTGCATCAAAACTTATACTCAGTGCTAAAAGTTTAAAAGAATTTCATTTTACAGCAAACGTCAAATCAGATGCAAACAGATTCATTATCTCCATCCCCTAATCCGGTGTCACCTGTGCCTTTGAATAATCCAGCAAGTGCCCCAAGATATGGAACAGTGATCCCTAATCGCATCTTTGTAGGAGGAATTGACTTTAAGGTACCTGTCTATGCATGCCACATATTGTATTTTTTATTAGTTTTTATCTTTCAGAAAGTGTTTCTTTGTGCAATGATAAAAATAATAATATTTGCATAATGATTGATTTCAAATGATCTTAATGTAAAGAATATTTTCAACAATTATGTAGGCTAAATAGAGCATGTATAATTTTCCAATTTCAAATACAAGAAAATTGAGATTCATTGACTTGCTGTAGACTCCTAGCCACATAGCAACAGAGCTAGACTAGAATCCTAGTTTTCTGACTCAAAACTTTATTTTCTTCATGTTGCCACACCAAACTAATTACAATTTCTTGCCTAATACCCAGTAGCTCAAATAACATGTGATTATAATTCTCAAAAGAAGACTCAATTTTTTAAAAACTTAGTTCTTCTCTGCCTCCCAAAGTGCTGCCATAAAATAAAAAATAAAAATAAAAAACTTAGTTCTATGAAACACTGTTTCTTTACCCTAACCTTTATCAGGTTCCTGAGCAACCTCCTAGACTTCCATATTTTTGCAAATTACTTTCTATGATATGATTTAGAATTTTATCACCAAAATATGCCTGTGTCCTTGTCAGAATAAAGCATCTTAACAGTAGTATACTTAAATCACCTAATCAGCTGTTTCACTCTTTCAAGGGAGCATGGTTTGTGAGACTATTGGTAGCACCCCATATGGGAGGTAATAGTAAACACCTACAAAGAAAGCATTCGTGGCAATTTTAAGTGGAATACCCTTCCTTCCAAATGGAGATAAACACACACACACACACACACACACATTTCCAAAATTACATATTACATATTAGAAATTATAGGGAGAGTTATCTTTTTTATCCAAAAAAAGCCCTTCTGTGCCATTAGGTATGATATTTGACATTTACAACTCACTATTCTATTCCCATGTAATCAATCTGTTACAACTTGGATGAAATTTTTTCCTGCATAAGAGAAATGATACACTTGGTGTATTTGCCAAAATAATGAATCATAACCAAGCAAATGACTGTTTCACTAAAAATTGAGAAAAATTATTTCTTATAAAATGTTTATTTTTGAAAAGATTGTCTTTATATGTGGAAAATATTAATGGATAACCAGAAATATAGAAATATTCAGTGTTGGTATTCATGTTCAGAATTCATTTCTATTATAATAGCCCAGCATATTTTTAAAAATAAGTTATCAATAAATATAAACATTTGTATAGCCAGGTTATTCTAGGTTACTGCAGCCCATCAGCTACAATATGAACTTTGGAAACATCGTTACAGTGCAGCCATAGCTTTAAGGTAACTGTTAGGGTTCCCTCCCTTACACTTTTTTCAAAACCACAGATAAATGTCAACAAGGAAATAGTTTGCTGTAGTAGCAAGCAATCTCAGACTTTTTAACCTGCTATTTTTAGAAGACTGCACACTATTCTTCTTAATATTTAATTTTCTTGACTTTCTGACTCCTTATTTTCAATGAAATAGTGGAGCTACAAAATTGAACTCATGTTCTAACAGAATAGTTGTTACAAGTAATTAATTATTTTTCAGATATCTAATAACAATCCTTATTCTGGCACTGATTTCAATTTCTGTTAACTGAAATAAAAAGCATTCAGTTATTTTTAGATTAAATTAATTTTTGTCATTATCCAGTTTAGCAGGCTTTATGTTTCTAACTAAAAACTAATAGAGTCTATCAGCAGGCTAGTAGCAGCTGAACTCAAAAGACACGCCTCTGTTCTAAGGCATGTCTTTTTTCTACGTATATAAAGAAACTTTTTTCCTAGGGACATTTAAAATTATTCCTGGAGGAAAACAGTTACAGCTGAATCAGAAAATGAAATTGCAAAGAATCTAATGTTAATATTCTGGGAAGAGGTGATATGAGTCTATCAGACAATTTGAATTAAAATCAGATATGCCAAAACCATCTTTGTAGACATCTTATGCATTTTAAGTCTACTTATGATTCTACTTTTTATTTTGAACGTCATCACAATGTCTGAATTTAGCTGATATGTATATTGAGTGCAGATAAAGTATCTAATAACCTTAAATCTTATAGTCATTCCATTGTTATCACAAATTGAGTTCAAGCACTTTTCAAAATATATTTCTTTCCTAAGACCTGACTCTTCCTGGAGACTGTACTGGTTAAAATAGAGTGATTGGTGTTAACCAACACAACCTGGTGTCACTTCCACAACTGTCAGCTCTTACTACAAGAGCCAATAGCAATATACCCCCACTATGGGGATAGCATGCCTACACTGAATTGTTTTTTTTTTTAACTGACCACCTAGAGAACAATAATTATTTAAAGATTCCTTTATATAGTAAACTTTCTTTGTAGCTTTAAGATAAATTTTTAATTTTTTGATTGATATAGAATAGTTTAATAATATAACCACTGCATAAAGCAAGATACTTATACTGATTTTAATAACCTAGTGGTTTTTATGCACTGTCTTAATGATAAGAGGCATTCTTTATCCGTATTATTATCTTTATTATCTTTAACTTTTTCTGTCTCTAAAACAAGCATCTTTTATCAATTAAAAAATGTTTTAATGTTTTATTTTTCTGCCATTAGACCAATGAAAATGATTTAAGAAAGTTTTTTTCCCAGTATGGCTCGGTAAAAGAAGTGAAGATTGTAAATGACAGAGCTGGAGTACCTAAAGGGTTAGTATCACTATAGATAGTATATAGAATTAACAGTTGTATTTTTATTTGATTACTAGCTTTTATATGCTAATTTACATTGGTTCCATTTTTTCAACAGAGAATATACCATGCCCTCTTCTTTCCTTCTACCTTTTGATCTTCTATTTCTTTTGTGTGTGTGCACACACACAAGCATGTGTGTAATTTAGAGGGAGGGACACTGTAATCTTCCTTAATTTGTTGAGAAGTTATTCTTGCATGGGCTGAAGGACCATTCGGTGTTAGCAAATGTACTTTAGCTGAGGAACCAAAAGAGAAAGGAATTGGATACTTTTGGAATTGCATCTCTACTTTAGACTATATAGAACTTTATTTGGAAACAACTGACCCCAAGGAATACCTAGAGGTTGTGCCCCAGAGATCTAATCAGGGGACTAATATGAGAACTATAACTCTAATGAGAATGATTTTTAATTGCCATATCAATGAAAACGAAAGTTGAGAGGAAAGCAGTAGACTGTGTCTTAAAATGTGTAGAGCTGTTTCAGTGGATTACTATGTGTATAAAAGCGAATTTTATAAAGGAAAGAGGTAACTTGCATAGTGCACTTACTTAAGGAGTTAAACCGCAAAATTAAAAGTAAATAGACAAGGCGGTGAAGGATTGTATCTATGTTCTTGAAAGAGGTGAGATACATATTTATGAGCATAAGACAAGAGAATGTGGTATCAGTGAGAAGTAACATTTAAGTATGACAGGTGGATACTCTGGAATAGATGGGATCCTGCAAAGAGGTTATTCTTCAGCAGATGAGATACTTTCTCATATATTTGTGTGTGTGTGTGTGTGTGTGTGTGTGTGTGTGTGTGTGTGTGTGTGTGTGTTGGCATCTCACTCTGGGACACGCTCACAGCCTCAACCTGCTGGGCTCAGGTGATCCTTCTGCCTCAGCCTTCCAAGTAGCTGGAACTACAGGCGGGCACCATCACGCCCAGCTCAATTTTTTGATTTATTATAGAGACGAAGTCTCACCAAATTTTCCAGGTTGGTCTGGAACTCTGGTCAGGCAATCTTCTTGCCTTCGCCTCCTGAAGTATTGGGATTATAGGCGTGAGCCACTGCCTCCTGAAGTATTGGGATTATAGGCGTGAGCCACTGTGCCCAGCGCCAAACAATATTAAGATGAAGTGAGATTATATGTCTTTTGTTTGGCTTACAGAATTTGCAATGTTTTGGTAAATTCTGTTTTTAATCATTAAAAAATTCATAGAAATGTAAACTGTGTTTTACGCCTTTTCCACTGGGTGGTGTATGTGCTCTACCAAACAATTAGTACAAAACTTATTTGATGTTTGGACAAATAAATAAAGAGAAATTCCTTTGTTGAAAAAAGAAACTTTATACATAATAAAATAACTATGAATTGAAGATAATAGTTGTCAAGATATTTAGTATTACTCAGAAGAGTTTTCTTCAGTTATGTAAATAGAAAAATGCTTTGGGAGATAAATTTATTTCTTTTGTTTCTTTTTTCTCTAACTATTTTGGCTTTTTGGACATGGCACACATCATGTATTTGTATCTTGAACGTTATATTGATTGTGCTTCAAGGTAATCATATATGAAAAGTAGATAAAAAATCTGGGTTGCACTTTTAGTTATTATTGTTTGGAAAGTATACTAATAATTGCATTATCAGTTTATATGTGCTAATAGGAATAAATAATACATTTGTATACTCTTTTGCCAACATAATAAATTTTATTGTGTTGAAATTTTTAAATTTTTTTCTACTTTCATTACCCTAAAGAAACCAAATGTCTGTTATTTTAAAAAGAGATTATTATTCTGGAATGAAATTCATTGCATCCCAATTTTTAAGCCAAATGTGAATCTCTTTTGCTTTTCTTCCTTCCATACAGCTGAAGGCTGAAATTGTTTCAAGATACTACATTTTGTTTTTCGTTAGTCTCCTGACTTTAAGAGGAGATGAAGGTGTTAAGCAGTGAATGATTCTTCTAAAATTCCCTTGCTGGTGCATCATGGAAAGATGCTTCCTCCTACAATGGCCCATTCTTTAAGAACATAATTTTAAAATTTTTTAATATAATAAATGTGATGCTTTAAGAAAGTAATAATTAATGCATTTATTTAGGTATGGTTTCGTCACTTTTGAAACAGAAGAAGATGCACAAAAAATTTTACAAGAGGTATGATCTTTTGGTGTATGATATATTTGGTGTATTTTTGGAACTTTTTTCTTTGAAACAAATCTTTTCAGATTCTTGTTTATTTTAATAGTAGGGTTCAAGTACAATGGCCACTTGCTTAAAAAAAAAAAAAACCTTTTTCATAACTTAAGATTAGCATTTATCTCTAAGAAACTTTATTTGCAGAAGAACAAATTCCAGAATCATTACACGAGTATGGTTGTGAAGTTGTAACATAATTTTTCACTTTATTTGCTTATACTAAGAATGTAGGGGTGTATTTTTTGTGAAGTATTTTGAATTCTTAAAAACCACTACAAAACCTGGATTTCTAGAGTGAGGTTTTTCTGAGATTACTTCTCTCCTATGAAAAACTTTATATAAACTAAGAACATTCACAGAAAAAGCCTGTAGCCTGCAATTCAGTGTAATAACTTTAAGTTATGGTAAATGTAACATTTAATTCTTTTAAGTAGAATTTGAATTTATATTATTAAAGTCATATACAGTAAATTTTTGTTATTTGTCATAGTTATATTCTGTAAAGTTGCCACAAACACTGAATTAGTGAATATTGAACTACTTTTTCTGGGTAAATAATGAATGAGGTTCCCAATAACCTCTGATTGCAATATTCTCATCAATCAATCAATACATAACCTTGTTTTATGTGTTGTTCTGTTAAAGACACCATGTATGATAGGTTATTGGTTCATTAACATTGAACTCACAGCCAATAGCACTGTAATCTATGCCTTAATTAAGTACATTTAATATGTTTTCTCAGTAAAGCACATGCCAATCTTGTGCTTAGGAACACTAGCCAGCACTTCAGCTCTACACTTGGGCACCATTTTAAATAGTTAACTCAACCAAAAAAAGTACAAAAATGCAGAAAACGTGGCACTAAATAGAAAACTCTGTCTTACAGTTATGAGACAAGAATAAAGAGTTCCTCCTAGTTTGACTTCAGCTGGGAACGTGTGTGTCAGGCTACTCAGATTTTTCACCACTCTGCACATGTCCATTATTAACCTCAAAATAGTCACAAATATTGAGTTTGGAGTTAAAAATACATTTTAGCAAATTCACAAATACAAATTCATGAATAATAAGGATTGATTATAATACAAATGAGGAATTAGGGTCAGAACATTGGAGCCAAGATTCAGACCCAGGTCTATTCAAAGACTGCCCTTTCCACTATGCCTTCCTGCTTTCAAAGAATTTTATAGTCTGAATTTTTTAAATTCTTTCCCACTAGTTTGTCCTTATTGGTTTTATAAATAAAATAGTGCCAAACTAATAAAACAATTTATTTTTTCTTTATTTTAGGCTGAAAAACTTAATTATAAGGATAAGAAACTGAACATTGGCCCAGCAATAAGAAAACAACAAGTAGGGATCCCTCGTATGTATTGAGAACTAATGTACTTTTTAATATTTTTCCATGGTTCTTTTTTAGAATATTAGACTTTTTATAGAACTTTATTAAAATATCATATTTCTTTCATTTAATAAAGTTATTTTGGCAAAGTTGGTGGACAAATATTTTACCACAAATTAATATATTGATCTTAGTTTTTCTTTGACTAGGGAAAAATTTACATAAATAATGATGCTTAGGCATATTTCACATAGTTACGTCATTAAAGGAATAATAATGAAAATATCATTTAGGATTGCAAAGTAATTAGAATTAACTTAGAAATATAGAATTACTAATGAGAAAATTTTCTAATTAGGAAAGTACTTTAAAATTAATCAGAGTAAAAATACTGAAAGTAAAAATATAGAACTAATATCATAACTTGCAACATGGTATATATGTACTGTAACCCAATTATATGCATCATAATTATCAAAGGGAACAATTCCTAAAGCTTTAGTAGTAAGCTGTTATGTCCCTTCCTCAAATTTGTGTAATGCTTTCAACTCTTTTTTCCTCACTCTTCCCACTTATTAAATTAGACATCTTTATAATTAACTTTTTACCTATAATATTTGTTAAAATCCCTAACAGAGTCTTTGGCTAGAAGGATAAACTTGACATAAAATTAATAACTAATTTATTTTTCTTTAGCCACATCCTAGTGTCTACTAGGATGTTTAAAACATTAAGTAGTTATCATGCAGACTGTTAACAAAGTAATAGATTGTGCTTATTTGAACTGTTCTACTTTTGACTTCAAGATTAACGGCAATTAAGTTTAATTTTGATTTAGTGTGAGTATTAACCCACTGAGGAGGCTTGGCACCGTGGCAGGCACATATGTATAATCCCAGTGCTTTAAAAGTACAAGTGGGAGGCTTGCTTAAGCCCAGGAATTTGAGGCTGTAGTGAGCTGTGATTGCACCACTGTACTCCAGCCTGGGCAACAGAGCAAGACCCCATCTCTTTAAAAAAAAAAAAAAAAAACAACCCTGCTGAGAACATTTTGGTTGTCTCTTGAAGGATTAGCCTTCAAATCCAGGACTGTTTGACTCTAAATTTCCTTTGTCTTTCCTGCAAAGAAAAATAGATGTTAAAAGTACATTTATAAAATACAGTACAAGAGATTCTTACCTTAATTTTTTCTCAGATCTGTCATTTTGTTCATCTCTATTACAACACCCTAGTCCCAGCTAACCACTTTGTAACCACTTTGCTTACCTTGATTCCTGGCAAACCTTCCTTACTAATTCTGAATCTAATCTGGCTACCTACCAATCCATCACTCACAAGGCTGCAGAGTAATCTTTGAAAAATGCACATCTTATTTTCAGCATATTTTGAGCTATTCTTCCCTTTTCTTTTCATGCTTTAGCCATCTAGCTTTCTCTCAGTTCCAGAGCATATCATACTACTCTTCTTGGGACTCTGATACGCTGTTTCCTTTACCTAGAATGCTCTTTGCTATTCCATTCATTCTTTAAAATTCAGCTGAAACATCATTTCCTCACAGATGTTCCATATCTATTTCCATATAGAGAGAGATATGGATTTTTATATATATTTTATATAAAATGTTCAGTATAGTACCCTATACTACCTCTTCATGTATTTATCAAAGTTGTATTTAATTAATTATGTAATTAACTAATAACTATCTTCTCTACCAGAACCTAACTTCTCTGAGAAGACAGACCATGCCATGTTCAATTTTTAAATTCTTTGCTGTATCACTAGGGTCCAGTTTACTGCCTTTAAATAATGTGCACTGAAAATTTATTCCTTTATTTAACAGGTAAACCATGGTTCATTGATGATCTTCGGAGGGGAATCATGAACCTCTTATATTATGTATAAAATTTTGTTTGACTAAATTTTTCTGAGAACAAATTCTTGACTTTTATCCAACTCTCAAAAGAATCTGCTAAGAACCATTAAAGCAAACAGTAACAGTACTAGATCAAATGCAATGAAAATATAAAAGCTGAGGAAGGCCAGGCACCGTGGCTCATGCCTGTAATCCCAGTACTTTGGGAGGCCAAAGCAGGAGGATCACTTGAGCCTGGGCCACATAGCAAAACCTTGTCTCCACAAAAAATCAAAAAGTTAGCTAGGCGTGGTGGTACACACATGTAGTCCCATCTACTCAGGATACTGAGGCAGGAGGCTCGCCTGAGCTAGGAGATCAAAGCTGTCTGGGAGAAAGAATATAACTCCGACTAAAAAAAAAAATTACTGAGGAATAGTAGTGGTGCTACTTAAAGTGGTAGGCCAGTGCTCCCTAAAGTGTGATTTGTGACAGCATCAGTTCACTTGGGAGCTATTAAAATACAACTTCTTAGGCTCTATCCCACACTTTCTGATTCAAAACCTCTGAAGATGGATCTCTTGAATTTGTATTTTAATAAACTAGGTGATTCTAATGTAAGCTGAATCCTGAGAAACATTAGTATAGTGGAAGAAGTATTTCCCGTTTCAGTAATTCATATAACCTTGCTGGTAAAGTGCTTCATCCAGCTTGGCTTATGTGACTTTTAAAGTCTCCACCATGACAAAAAATATATTATGTCGATATTATTTGTTGTATTTTTGGCTTGGGGGTTTTAAAAAATATAACTTGACCTGGGAAAAGAGATAGGGACCTCAGACCGGCCAGTTGAAGACCTGTGGGCATTTTCACAGCAGTTGTAAGCAAAGGAAGACTAGATAGAGAATAGACAGCAGAAAAGAGAAATAAAAGAGCATCATAGCATGCATGAATGCTTGCTAATAGTAGACCCAAATAATTAGTATTAAACCAAAATGTCTTTGGGAAGTTAGAATCTTCTTCAATTTCACTACCTCTATCATCATTAAATTTTTACAAAGAAAAAAGGTCTAGCTAAGATATTAGGTACTTTACTGCAGTGTCTAGAGTCGTCAACTAACTCTAAATTATATAAATTTATGACTGTAAAAATAGTGACTTAGGTGATGATAATCTAAATTCTTAAGCTTCGTTTGGTTTTACTGGTATTAGAATCTGACTTGGTAAATTTTTAGTATTTCTTATTAATATCATTTATTTTTCTTTTAGTTGCCTTAAGTTAATTAAAGCTTTAAAGTAGTGAGTTTGAAATATATATACTTCAAAGATACTTTAACATAAGGAATTTTTTAAAAATACTTGTGACATTCAATTTTTACTGTAGCTATGTAGGTGTGTTAAGGTGGACATTTTCTAAAGTCACCACAAATTGCACTTTTAACAGTTAAATTGAACATTTTAATTCTTATTATTTAATCTTTGCTTTAGGTTCTAGTATAATGCCAGCAGCTGGAACAATGTATCTAACAACTTCAACTGGATATCCTTATACTTACCATAATGGTGTTGCTTATTTTCATACTCCAGAGGTAACTTCTGTCCCACCACCTTGGCCAGTAAGTAATTTCATTTAAGAATGGTTTTTACCTATTACTATCAATTTTTTAAATATTTGCTTTATTTCTGAAATATTTCAACCACAAACAATTACAAATAATAACACAACACATCTCTACGACCCAAATTTAACAGATACTAACATTTTATCATATTTAAGTTCTTCTTAAAGAGAGGAATAAAATAAAACTAATACAGGTAAAGTCTCTTCATCCCCATTGCCTTACCCTCATTTCCTTTTCAAAGTAACCAGAATATCTTTTCTGTCCATTTTATGCATTTTTACTACAAATATATATATTCTGAAATGCTATATAGCATTGCTTTGGTGGTTTTTAAATACTTTATAAATAATGTTTTTTCTACTGAATATTATATTTTTGAAATCAAAGTATGTTTATCCTTTTTTAGATTATACCATGTTTATCCTTATATATCAAGTTCATTTATTTTAATATTTTATGATATTTCATTTTATGAGTATACCACAGTTTTTTATAATCCTTTATTGATGGATATTTGAAATTTTTTCTACAAACAAGACTACATTGAACATCCAGATTTAATATGTTTTATGTGAGAATTTTCTAGGTCATGAGTTTTCTTTCTTTCTTTTTTTTTTTTTTTTTTTTTTTTTTTTTT